ACTACACGTGGTAACTAAATTCCCGAGGGGGAAACCGCTGACCAAAATCTTGTACACCAATGCCCACTAATGCCCAGTGGGCATTACTTTATCTTATTATCTTCTTTTATCTTATTTATCTTCTTTTATCTTATTTTATCTTTATAATGTTACAGCAAGACGTAATGCCCCAAAAATGCCCTAGTAATGCCCGATAATGCCGCAAATCTGTACACCACAATGCCCTCAGCGGTTTCCCCCTCGTAAATTCCAGTAGTAAAATATGGACAGCTAATATTTAGTTGTGACAGCTAAATATTTTGCTACCGTGCCTGTTGCATTAGGCGCGACTGCAAATCGTTTACTATGGTTTAGAAATTTATAGCTGTGGCAGCAAAATATTTTTAGCAAACCACGATGATTAGCTACGGTAGCGAAACTTTTTTTCAGTAGAGTTTATTTGTCTGTCTTCCTCTAGTGGACGTGTGTCACGAGAGTCCGAGAAAGACGGACCACCCAAATAAATTCATACTATCCTTTTCCCTCAGGAAAATGCTTCCGCTGTCTCATAAACAGTCTATGGTTAATATATCTATAGTTCGCGCGGAATAACAACGCGCGAGCCGCCAGAGAATTTACAAAATACAGCAAGTATCAAAATTCATCGCAGGGAATGTTTGCGCTCAATTTATATTTATCAAACCGTGTCGCAACTGTCATGAGCAAACCCGTGTCGTAATTATCCCGCGAGAATGTAAAACAGCATCTACTGTTGCAAGTATGATGCAATTTGTGTCGTAACGGGTTGAAAAAAGTCCTTTGGACTGCACATTTATCGGAGTGTCTCTTTCCTAGCGACAGCACGACCGAGGAGATCGACTGATTAGATTCTTTGTGAGGGATAAAAGGGGATAAGACATATGTGTGTGCGTGCGTGCGTGCGCGAGTGCGTACGAGTGTCCACGTGTATCCGAGCGCGGGTTTGCTAAGTCCAATAAACGACCGTGCGGAAACCGTCAGTCAATGCTGCGGAGAAAAAAAACCCGATTTAAATTTTCCCTTTTAGTCGAGAAGAATAGGATTCGAGATACGAAACGAGCGTCCGCGGTGCGGGTGTAGTAACTGTTTCTCATAGCGAATTCGGTTGGTTGCACTAGTGCGCACTGAGTGCGCACTAAGCCTTGTTTCCAGTCAATTCTTATACATATTTAAAGATCATGTTAAATACCTCTTGCAATATTTGTTATTCGGAAAAATCGTCTGTGTATACACGCAAAGAAATAATTGTATGCGCAACGTCAATTTAAAATAAAAAGTAATTTATCACTCACTGATACGATTCGCGACAGCACAGTTGTACATCGTTAACTATGTATGTTAAACTGTAAAAATACAAATATGTATACGATTATTATAGAGTAATTACGTAAAATCGAAATTATTGCATTAAATATACTTTATATTTTGTATTTTCGGTAATTGTTCAGAATAGCTACATCACCTCCAAAATCAATCAAATTAGTCTCATTCGACGCGTTTTTTAACGAGAAACAACTTTTTCTTTAGACAAAATCGTCGCTCTGCCCTGCGAAGCGAGATATTAATTGTTAAAGTGGTAAATATGCAAGTCTAAATCTTGTATCTTTTTAACGAATCAGTTGCAAGTGTCTTTAGCACGGCGCGCTGCGCGCGCCCCACCCCCTCCCGCCCCTC